AGCAGCCAATAGAAGTCTCCATGAAAAACACAAAATATATTATTTGTGCGACTAATTGCTCAATTATTTCTTGTTGTGCACTCTTCATTTGATATTGAGTGATTTGTTGATAGATGAGAAACAATGTAACTGGACATTTACAAATAATATAGGTGATGATATCTACGAGTACTATTCGAATAAGTTGTTGATCTTTTGATTGAAATATATGTGTTCCACCTACTGATACAGAGCCAACATTCGATGATTTGGCAGGACCTGTATTACGTCCTAATTGACGGGCATTTTTTACTGTTTGAATACCAAATAGAATCATAAGGAAAGGTGGTAATAATCCGTTGATGAAAAGTGAATAATAGGTTATAAATGTTGTATATGCACCTGGTTGATAGTAACAAACAAAATAATTTGGTCCTTCCTCTAGAATTTATGCAAAAATCAATGCATGAATATGAAAAAGTGCCCAGAATATGGCAATGCTGATTATACATATAAAAATCAAACGGCGTGTACATCTTTGTCTTGTAGTCGCATTTCGTGAAGTGATCATTGTTCGATCAATTGATGCTAGAATGAGATAAGACGATTCCCAGCAAGTAAGAATCGTGTCAGCATAATAACGGAATCGACAGAAATCCATATTGTTTGTACTAGGATCAATTCCATAACCCGATGGAAGTACAACAAATAATAAACCCAAATAAATGTATGCAAAATTGGTTATATTAATAGCTATAAAGCAAACTGAACAAGGATTTTTTCGTAGACCATCTTTCATGAATACCATTAAGTTAAGTATACAACTAATACTACCGATAATGATTAAGATTGGACCACCATATCGAAATAAATCTTTTTCAATCTCATAGATCAATGTTGACGAAGCCATTCTTGTTATAGAAGTCAGAGAAGATTTTGATTTCTTTGAAGAATAGGCTTGAAAGAAACTCTTAATGACCAAGAAATTTAGTAGAGAATTAAAAAGCACGGGACTTCTCTTTATTTATTCTAAAAAGATCACATGCCTTTAAATGAGGCGGATATAAACAATAGCGCACATAATTGATTTCCTAAATGAGGTCTTCCTACTTTTATCACATTGATTGTTGAATATACATCATGCTAAAAAATGGGTTGTCACTTTGCAAATGAACATATAATTGCAACGAAAAAAATTTCGAAACTCTTATTTCATGGAAACTGACGTCTAAGCTTTAGTAATATCATCTGTTCTTAGAAATAAAAAAATTGATGCAAAAGTGCATTTTAAGGTTAGAAATACAAGTCAAACAGATCTATCATTTCTGTTGTGCTCTTCTGATTAATAATTAATATGCACTATTTTCTTCTTCATCTCTCATTATACAGTTCTAATTTACTTAATTATAGTTATGCAATTTTCTGCAGTGGGAATTTTGTTTCCTGCATCTACTTCCATCATATGACTATAATTGATTTACTGTCAGCTGAGTATATTGATATCAATAGAAAAATTCAAGTCAGTCACATGATCTAAGGAGCATGTGAAAAGTGTATTACATTACAGAGATTTTTACAACCAAAATGAATACGACAATATTTCAATTTAAATATTTTAAAAAGCTCAAATACTTTCTGAATATTATATATCTCATCATAGGTTATTCTGTTATTGGACCTATTCTGTGTTAATAAATCTATTTTAGAAGCATTACTGTGTCATATTTCAACCAGTGTTGTTACAATCGAAAAAATGTCTCGATAGATCAACCTTTTTCTAGCAGTTATATCTTAGAATAGGTAAGAGTACAAAATAAATACGATTCGCTCAACTACAATCAGCTACAATTTCATAAGTGTTTCATTTTCAAATTAGATGACTATTTATTGAAACATGCACTTTCAAAAAATAAAAAATATTTTCACAACGATTTAATAAATTTTTATTTAAACTCAATAAAATATCATTTGATTATATTCAAGTGGAAAATGAAACTGTTTAGAATATGTAATAAACGTTTTTGTAGATTGTCGACATTTTCTGTTCATAAAACTGGAGTAATTTCGTTAATAGGCGATTGTCCAAAGTATTTTTATACAATAAGTAAAGCGGACAAACATCGTTATTCCATGATTTAGAACTGTTTATTTTTGAGAGTGTAGATATCTTTCATTCACACCCAAACGCACACCCATTATTAGAACTGTTTGCTGGAGTAAATTGTTCCATTTGGTAAAATTGATTCCGATACAATGGTCGCCTGTCCTAGCTGTTCATCGGTCAGTCCTTTACATCCACAAAAGTTCACCTTTATAAATTTTGAATTTAACAATGAACTTCCATACATTGTACACCATCGCATATCAACATTCGTAAA